CCTGTGATGACGTCAGCTACGTGGTTTCGTCGAGCGTGCTTTAGTCGAATGCGGTTTTGTGGTGGAACCGTGGCCGGCATGACTAAATACCGAAGGCGCATGGAACACTGTTAACCTTCCCACCAAAAGTGGCTCCCGTTTTTCTGCTTGCATTTTTACATGCTCTCGAACTGCTAGGTTGGCAGAAGCCGGGACAAGTAACGGGAGCTCAACAGAGTCGTATGATTGCTTGCTCCTAATAGGGCTTTGTATTAATTTCAGAAGATTAATCCACGTGGGCAGGACCTTCATGGCTACTTCAGTTGAGACTGAAATTGCTATCAAGTGTCCTCACCGATGCCAAGAAGATCAGCAATTACTTTTTTTCTTTTCAACTTGAATAAGGCACTTCATCTTTTCAAGGAAGTTGGCAGGCGAACCTCACAGTAGTAAGTAGTAACAGGTAAAACACTCAACGCTCAAGTATTTTCTAGGCCCAACTCAACAATTCAATATTTCAATAATTTTGGGGAGAGGGGTAATGGACATCTTTAAAAAGTGATTTTGGGCAACTTACTGTCTTGGTCAGCTCAACTTCCCTCTTTCTCGCTACAGGAGGAAAAGAGGAAGAAGCAGAATAGACAGCCATAATCTATGATGCCACCGAACATCTCAAGTCACACAGTGTAGTGTTTGTTTAAAACTGGGTTCCTTGTTAAGACGTTTGTTCAAAGCACATCGGTCTTTTGTTCAAGTATGTACAAAAAGAAATGTAGTACTTAGCTACATCACCTAACATCCACACTTTGCGGTTCAAGCAAATATTTCAAACAAAACACGTACTTTAAGTAGAAATTCAGGAAGCTGTCCAAGTTTGGCCAAACCGCTGGTTGAAAATGACGCAGTCATAACAGGGGCCAATCCCAAAAACATGTGTATCTTTTTTGCCAACTCTGGAAAAGCTGAAAACGCTATGAAACCTGGAGGAGCGAGAAACACGAAGGACATGAATAGATCTTAAACTTACGCGGCTGAACAAAATCAGTAGGAAAACAGTTCGTTGCATATTCCACAAAAGCAATCGCATTTTTTTAAAATCATTTTCACAGCTTAGGAATAGCATAAATAAGGCAAAGGGAACTTTCTCCGCACCTGAAGACTGTCTTCATCCGTTTTTTTTTCCTTTATAAATCCAAAGCAGTTTTCAAAATGATTAAGCACTCCGAGATTTGATTCTTAGAAGCCTCTTTTGCTAGGCTGAAAAAAGTTGATTTCTTTTTTCTGCGGGCATCAGCTAGTTACATAGGGTATGTCATTTTTAAAATAGGCAGGCAACGAATCACAAGGATTTAGCACATTGTGCAGACGCACTATATGCCATTGATGGCTAACCTTTTTGCCAAAAGTGGAGGGAGTGGAGGGGGGGGGGAAGTCGTGCATGGGCATGCCCACACCCATAATTTTATGTGCCCTCCCTCCGTGCATGCACGCGGGGCCTGCCATGTATGCACGTGCGACCTCCCCACCCCACCCTCCTGCTTTTCACGCACAATGGCACGATGGATCCATTTTTCGCCCTCCCCAGTCTCCAGGGGCTTTCTAGGAGCCTGGGGAGGGCGAAAACGGCCTTTGCTGCCCTCCTGGAGACCCTCCCGGGGCCAGAAACTGCCCGTTTTCTGACTTCCAGTTTGCATGTTCGGCTGTTTTTTTCCCCCTCCGGGGGCTTTAGGGAAGCTACCTTATAGGATTGCCCATAGGACCGTTTTTCTCCCTCCGGAGGCTTCAGGAGACCTCCCTGAAGTCTCCAGAGGGTAAAAAACAGCCCAATGCACAAACCGGAAGTCCGTTCCCGAACTTCCGGTTTGCGTGTTGGGCTGTTTTTCTCCCTCCAGAGGTGTCCGGAGGGAGAAAAATGGCCCAATGCGCAAACCGGAAGTTCGGACTTCCGGTTTGCGTGTTGGGCTGTTTTTTGCCTTCCGGAGGCTTCCGGAGAATGAAAAACGGCCGAAAATGAAGATTGAAATCAGCTGGCCAGTGCACGCATGGACACTGGAGCTAACAGGGCAACGCCTTGCGTGCCCTAAGAAATGGCTCCGTGTGCCACTTGTGGCACACGTGTTATAGGTTCGCCATCATGGCTATATGCCATATAACCCTTTATAGAATTCAACTGAAATTGGAGGCATTCACTTGATCCAAGAGATCTTAATTCAGTTCAGAGTCACCTCAAAACTTTAGTGTCTTCATCAAGCATTCATATATAAATATTTTCCATTATTCAAAATACGTCTTTCCTAATAAGCTAATACTCTTTCAGATTACACATTCCACAAGCTGCAGCCATAACTCATCTGGAAAACATCAATTTAAAGAATACTGATGATGGAGATGATTATTTATTTGCATTTGGCGTTAATTACCGCTTTATAGATAAGCATTGTGAAATTTAACTTGGCCCATGTAGCTATTAAAATAACCATTGTAAAATCAGTAGTTTGCTAACCTACCTATGATGGTGCCTTGAGAATGGCCAACGTAGAAGAGTTTCTCCTGGCCAGTTTTGTTCAAGACAAAGTTTATTGAAGCAGGGAGGTCATATTTAGCCATTTCATCAAAACTAAAGAGAGCAGAGGGAAATCCATCAGATTCAGATTNTGAAGTCCACCCATCTTAAAGCATGCTAGCTGGGGGATTCTGGGAGTTGAAGTCCACCCAACTTAAAGCATGTGACTGGAGGATTCTGGGAGCTGAAGTCCACCCGTGTTAAAGCATTCTGGCTGGAGAATTCTGGGGGATGAAGTCCACCCATCTCAAAGTTGCTAAGATTCATGAAGATTAGCCCTGACTGTTGGAACAGGCATCCATTCCTGCTCAATTTAGGACCACAAATCATTCAGACCTTTTACCCCACTCCCTCCTCCTAACCCACCGTTTCCCCTCCTCCTTATGGTTAAATGCCCCTGGATACTGGCAAGCTTTTGAACACAATGCAATGTTGTCTCTGGGACACTTTTCCCCCCCAGCTGGGCCTTCGACCAGCTTTAAAGGTCTCAGGAGGGCAGGAGATCAGCCTGGCAGGCTGACCCTCTACGGAGGACTAGAGTGCCAAAAATAGGAACCCTTTCCTCATCCCGTCCTCGGCTGGCCCTCCCGCCCGCCCGCCCGCGGGTGACTTCCTCCCCCACTTTGCATTCACGGCGCAAAATCTGATCTGTGCTTTTTTTTTAAAATTTATTTGGCCCATTTAAGGAGTGACAAACCCCTTTTCCAGCTCCTTCTCCGGCCCGTCCGGCCCGTTTTTCCGCGTGCGGCCCCCTACCCCGCGAGCCCCTCTTCCTTGGACGAGACGCGCCGCTATAGTTCTTGGCGACGCTCAATCTTCAGCAGTTCAACTTCAAAGATGAGCGTGGCACCGCCTGGGAACAGCGTGGGGGGAAAAAAAGAGAGAAAGAAGAAGGCAAAGAGATTGAAGGATGGATGGAAAAGCCCTGGCGGAGAACTGAGATGTCCTTTTTAAAAAAAAAAAAAAGAAAAACCCTCGCGGCGGGATGTGAATGAAGCCAATCCATAAAAATGGAAGGGTATTTTGATTCCGATCGGCTGCAAAAGTTGATGGAGTTAGCAGATAGGGCTAAGTTGACTCGCTTCGATGAAAGAACAAGCAATTAATTTTGTTCCGACTCGGAAACCTTTTCTGGACTTTGTGCTTGAGATGGGGGTGGGGGGAGGGAAACCCATGCAACTTTGATTTTGGGTTTTGCTGATTGGATGGGTTTGTTGCTATAGAAATGGCTAGTACGTAATACTATGCACAAGTAAAAAGTTGAGGTGTGCGTTATTAGCTTATTCTACTGAGCCCATAACACACACTGAGCGGTGGCTCATTGGCTAAGATGCTGAGCTTGTCGATCACAAAGGTCAGCAGCTCGGCGGTTCGAATTCATAGCGCCGCAAAACGGAGTGGGCTCCTGTTACTTGTCCCAGTTTCTGCCAACCTAGCAGCTCGAAAATGCAAGTAGAAAAATAGGAGCCACCTTTGGTGGGAAGGGAACAGCGTTCTGTGTGCCTTCGGCGTTGAGTCATGCCGGCCACATGACCCCGGAGACGTCTTCGGACAGCGCTG